ATAGAGTTCAGCTGGATTGCTGCCTCTACTCTATTTTGGCTCTATCTACCCCCTCACCCCAATCCCCCAGTTTCTCTGTGTATAGAAATTCACCAAAACAATGTAATAACAAGTAAAACTAAATTGCCTGTGATTTCAAATCCATGGATAGATTTCAGTATGAATCCGTTCCACTTTCTTCATACAGTTCTGCATAATAGATGGCATAATGCCTTATTACCTATTTATGTTTGAAATTGTTGCGTTTTGGTATATGTGAGGAAAATAAAAATGATCAGTTCAGATGGGCAAAAAGTGTAGTTAAGTTTGCCACGTATAATATGGCTAGATTGACAGTTGGAAGTATGTGAAGGGCTTTAAAAGCCCAATGGAGGAGTTCATCATCGATGGTAGAATCAAGGGATAGCCACTGGAGTTTGTTGAAAGGAGAGGTGAAAGAGTGAGATGATCAGGCTTGTGCTTTAGGAAAATCTCTTTGGTTAAAGTGGCAAGAATCTTGAGGCAGGGAAACCAATTAGGAGGCCATTATAATAATCTAGACAACAGGTCATGAGAATCTGAATTAGATTGATTCTGTGTAAGGAGAAAAGGGAATCGATTTCAGAGAGGTTTCTGGTTAGAAATGAAAAGATTTAGCAGTTAGGAGGATATATGAAGCAATGAGAATAGAGTCAAGGACTGAGTTTGTGAACTGGGATGACCAAAAATATGTTGATGGTCCTGAAACATAAGGTAATTCAGACAAGAGGTGAGTTTGAGGATAATGATGATGTAAAATTTGATGCAGGTCACAACCAATCCTTGTGTATCTCTCTACTTATTGTGTCCGGCCCAAAATCAAAAAGATGGATTATTGGTCTTACTCATTAGTGAGTGTTACAGAGCATAGAGACTGCCCTATTCATCCCTGACTTCTTTAGTCAGAAAAGTGACTAAAGGGAACAATCATTTGTTACATGCCTGCTATGTTAACAAACATTGTACAACACATCTTATAAATATTACCTCATCTTACAATTTGAAGGAGGGGGATATTTTAAATATTGTTATTTTTCAGTCATTTTAATCACATCTGACATTTCCTGATTTCATATTGCATTTTCTTGGCAAAGATACTAGAGTAGTTTGTCATTTCCTTCTCCATCTCACTTTACAGATGAGGAAATTGAGGCAAATAAGATTAAGTATCTTATCTAGGGTCACACAGCTAGTAAGTGACTATGCTGGATTTGAATTTAGTTCTTCCTGACTCCAGGTCTTGTGCTCTATCCCTTGCACCATTTAGTTGCTAAATATGATTACTTAAATTCCATCTTATTGAAATTAGTTAAATGTTATTTATTAACTAAATTGACTGTTATTATTGGTGAGGGGATTTCCCAGTGTTAACTGAGCATTTGCTTTTGTAAATATTCAGTCTTGGTTAGGTCATAAGTACCAGTATCCTAGTCTGGGAGTGGGGTTCTTGCTCAACAAAGAAGTAGGAAGGTTGGGAACTTAATTAGCAGCAGGAAAGGGAAGAGTGAGAAATAAGTTTGCTGATAATGGGTGGATAGCATATATAATTTTAGATATGACCCCCACAGATATCTGTGGAAGGGAGTTGAGGATAGGCTGCAACCCACCTTACTCCCTCTGATTAGGTGATACAAACTCATTGGGTAGTCCCAAGGACCCTGGTGTTCATTTCTGGACCCTACTTTGTAGACCATTGCTCTAGTGATTGGATCAGTGAGAAGCTAGGAGTTGCTTTTAGGTCAGCAAAGTTATGCTTTCCCAGAACTCCTGAAATCATACCTTTTGGTCTGTTTTCTCTCCAATCTGCAAATGTCTCAAATTCCACATAAGGTAGACCAGTTTGTCACAGAATGTTTTTATTCACAAATATGTTCTACCAATTTCATTATTTCTATACCACAGAAGGGTATGTATCATGCACCTGAACAGTGACATTTTTCCCCACCTATGATGAAGCTCATTTAAATAGTACTTTAGAAAGACAAATTTATATGACTCAAACATTGTTTTGTATACTGTTATTTACTGCCAGACAATAAGTTCCATGGAGTTTTACCATCTGAAATAGTGAAAACATGTGGACTTGAACATTAACACCTTGGATTGATGGTGATTTTCATTTCACATTTTTGAATATTTCCTCTGAATACATGCAGACACACACACACAAATACATGTATTCCTGCACATTACTGTTTGGGGTGCACAGATAGTTGTGAAGTTAATGAAATTGTTCTGTCAAAGATAATTAAGAGATTTTCTTCAAAGACAGGGTTACATACATAGGTACATAAATGACTATCATTCATATGGTTTACAGTAGATCTTGAGATCAATCTTAAACTGGTAGTCTGGAGCCCCTATTTCTCGGCATTTGATAATTCAGTTTATATTTAGTTAGCAGATATCTTTAAGAGTACATAAAACATTGAACCTACATATACTGCATCATTTATAGCTGAACCATTTAAATGGTCATTCCTTTATCCATTCAATCAACAAATATGTATTGACCATCTAATATTGGTGGAACACTTGGAGGAGTTGAAAATTATCTACTCACCTTACTGATAGTGATTTCCCACGTAGCTTTCATCTACATCGAAAAGTAGAAGTATTAGACTTCTTGAAATCTAGACTTGAATGATGGAGATAACCTCGTTTAGCTGATTCCTTTTGTTTTTATCCAGTTAGAGCTTTAAAGAGTCTTTGCATTTAAAAGAGTATTAAGTATTTATATTGTTATTAACAAGAAATAAAATAATTTTTGAAATGTGTAGATGCTACAAATTTTTAATTAATTTTGTTCATGCAATATGAATAAACTCATTTTTAAAGTAATGAGTATAAATGAAGACATTTTAATGATCCATAAGTAGTTAAGAAGTGCATAGATGTGTAAGTTACTGTGGAAAGGAGCAGGCTGAGATTGAATTCTACCTAGAATTTGGTGCTTCAGTAGAGACAAAGACTGAAAGGAGACATGAACGAAGTCCCTAAAACCACAAAGCAAAAGAATAGTTAACCCATTTATTTACCCAAATCTAAGAACATTAGAACTAGAGGCTACCTTTAACGTTAAAAACTGTAAATTTAAATAAGTTACTACTTTACACTAAGGGTAATAACTCTTCTGTCTCTCTCACTGTCTCACACAAGAAAAAGCATGCACGCAAGAAAATATTCAAAGACTAAAGATACTCATAAGTGTAAAAAAAATTAAGCTAAATCTATTAAATCATAGACATAAAATAGATTGATGCAAAGTTGTACAATACAATAAAATTCATTTCAGACCATCGTTATTTGTTGATGGATGAACTAACCAGAACACTTTCTAAATTTAGAGGAAGTTACAGTGTCATCATGGCCATCAAAAAGATTACAGTCTGATATGGACATGACTTTAACACAGTAAAGTGCAATATAGGATATCATATAACAATGAAATACAAAATAAAAAGCTTGGTGAGGTCTGAGACATAAAGTCTTATTCATCAAAACTTGAGTGAAGGTTGAAATCAGATATGTACAGATCTGCAACATCTTTAAAGCTTTTCATTTTAAGAATTATTTTCTTTTTGTGATTTAGCCTTAAATAGTTGTGAGAGATCTCATTGTTTGGAGGTATATCCCAGTCTTATCTTTTGGGACTTGTTATAAACTTTTTAGCATGTCTTTCTGCTTAAAACTGCTATGGACAGTAAGTGGGAAAAGCTTTTTTTATTTTAAATAAAGAAATAAAGTTAATAATATACAAGCAGGCAAAGGATATTATAAATATTGTACTTCCCTTACTCTTCCATTTCAAATAATTTTATGTCATCATTCATATGATATTAGTTATTTTGGCAAAAAAAAGTTTAGAAAAACCTATTAATCATCTGGTTTTCTCCCAAAGTACCTGTATGCCTCATATCACACAGCCAAGTCATGCAGATGATAAACTTATATTTTCTTTGGATCTAGATATTTTTTTGCTATGTGAATTTAGCTACTCTTATTTTTTGATTAATAAATCTTTAAAAAATACTTCCACAAATATATAAAAGTGTCTCAAGATGTAGGCAGCAAACAATTATCCTCATTTAATCAGTAGAGGAAAAAAAGTTCAGAGGTGAAGTTATGTACACACACGTGTACACACACACACACACACACACACACACACACACACATGCACACACACACACACACCCCATAGCTTCCCACATTCTCCCAACACTTTAATGAGTAAAATAGTCTGCCTTGAATAGTAATCATTTGAAATAGGCCATTGGTTATAAAAAAAAAAAAAGACATTTACCTTATTCTCTATGTCAAAGAATAGTGCAACTAGAGAAATAAGAGTCTGCTTGAGGGGAAAAAAAAAAGAAATGGGAAATTGAAAGACCTCTTCAATGGCACAAGAAGGGGAAGGATCCTAAAGACCTTTCGATACATATTTTTGAAAAATTTTCTTGTCTCTCTTAATATTCATTCTCTTAACAAAATATAATTTCTTTTTTTTTTCTTTTTTTAGGCAGTTGGGGTTAAGTGACTTGCCCAGGGTCACACAGCTAGCAAGTGTCAAGTGTTTGGTCTGAGGCTGGATTTGAACTTGGGTCCTCCTGGCTTCAGGGCCAGTGCTCTATCCATTGTGCCACCTAGCTGTCCCCAACAAAATATAATTTCAAGAAAAATCAGTTTCAAATGAGAAACTGAAGCTAGTAAGAAAAAAAATATGTCTTGTCTGCTGACCTGCTGCTTAACATGATCTACAGCGTGCCAATTGTCAGCAACAATTTCAGCAGCTGTTATCAGTCAATGAATGAGTAACCTTAGCATTCAGTAGAAATAGAGAGATGGATTGCCATCTCAAATTAAATCATCAGTGATAGAAACAGTACTGCAAAAAAAAAAAGACACTGTAATCTAACACCATAAATCAAAAGAAAATTTAGAACATTATTTAATTTTTCCAACTCAAGTTGATGGGGAAGTCTTATCTTTCTTCAAAATCTTACTTCCCCTTTCTGCTGTCTGGGGAGGTGGCAAAAGACAGAATTGAGTAAACCAGGATTCATAAACAGGAAAGCTATCTTTCTAGCTCTCCTGATTTCTCACAGATGATAAATAGTTTATGGCAACTGACAAAGACGACATTTGGCAATTTGTCTAGGGGTGCCAAGTGACGAAAATCTGCCAGCCGAAGAGAGTAGATTTTTTGTGCCGAATGAATACTTAATTATACAACAGGAAATTGGGATGAGTGAGCACTTCATAACTTCAAGACATTCATGAATCTATAAAAGAAGGGAAGATGAGAATGAAAGAGATCAGATTAGAATCTGTGTACTTGAAGTTCTGGGAGAAAACAAATGGGTGTTTTTTTTTAAAGTATTATGGTTAGCAACAAATGTGCTTAAACTTTTGCTTTTCTCTCCCTGAATGTTTCAGTGTGTTCTGTGGCCCTGCCTTACCAAGGAGAAAAGAAACAAAAACAAAAAACAAAAACTGCCTCTTTTGCAAATTGAATCTTTTCAACATCCACTCTTTCCTGTGGAAAGGCAAATTGTAAGAGAATGCCCCCATCCTTATTGTTTTGTCCTTTGATGATGAGTGAAAGGGAAATAATGCCTTGGACAGATATATCCAGGAAGTCTCATGTCTTTACTATATGTTCTCCTTAATTTTTAGCTTTGAGATTGGGAAACACTAATTTGTATCCTTGATTCTTAGTGCAGAGGGATGTTATTTATGCAGTTTGTGGCACTGTACAAGGAACATAACTTTCCAGTTTGAGTCTGAACTTGAAAATTCTTTCTTTTGATACTTCTCTGAAACATAATTGTGCATTGATTTTAACAAAGGATTAAATTTTTATGAAGTTGAGTTACCTAAATCACAACAATTAAATTCCCAATTCACTGTTTTGGTATTTATTTACTGTTTTATTTTCCCCAGGTACATGTAAAAAACAATTTTTAACATTTGTTTTTAAAACTTTGAGTTCCAAATTCTCTCCATTCCTCTCTTTCCATCCCCCTACCTGAGTTGAGAAGGCAAATAATTCAATTCACTTTTACTACTTACTTTAATACTGATATTCGTGATTATCTTTGTGTACTGAGGATTTAACAGGAAGGTTTTAGGTTGGGAAGAATAAGCTGTTCCCCTTCCCTTGAAAGTGATCAGGGAAAGTGTCATTTATTTATTCTGAACCATGTATCATATACCTATACACAAATATTTAGTATGTGGTAGGTAGGTATAATTCTAACCTGATATCCCTCTTGGAAATAGAAGAGTAAAGGAGATATTGTTTAGCTTTGGTGGTCCTGGATCCTACCCAACTTATTCCCAGTGACTCTTAGCTATTTCAGCACAGTCCTCTTCATTTTCTCCTAAAATATGGAAACTACACTCTTCTTTGGAGCTAGAGTAGACCATATCCCATATTAGGTTATCTATACGTGTATCCTTGTAATACAACCCTACCACAATATTCCATCTCCTATCACTGTGACTTTTCATAGACTGTCATTATACTTATATTGGTTTTCCTTTCTACCACTGTCTCTTGGAACTCCTAGCTCCCTTCATAATTCAGTTCAAGTGACACCTGTTAATGAAATCTTTTTTTGTGCTCTCAGTTGTTAGCCCTCTCTCCCAGATCACTCTGTAACATATACATGTTTGTGTATATATAATACATATATATAATATATTTTGTGTATAAGTATATATGATATATGCATTTATATTTTATTTACTCAAATTTATAAATACATAAAAGATAAATTATTTCTTATGTGCCAGACACTTAACCAGAGCCAGATAATATTTTCCAGAGTACTTGGAATTACCATCAAAACAGCAAGAAAGTCCCTGTGCTCGTGGACTAATGGGGGAAGTAGTCACATAACAGTGAACTGAAAGAGAGAAGGATATTCATACATGGTGGCATGGTTTGAAAATGGCAAAGTGATATGGAGAGCTAGTATTATTCAAGGCAAGGCAAATCTCACCAGGGAGATCTCAGGGTGGTTCTAGGGATAGATTCCAAGGTTGTAATGTGAAGGGGTGAAGATGATGAAAACAATGGCTGGAGGGCAGGTTATATAATTTAGAAATGGCTAGGAAATATTGTAGAGACCCAGTTCATGGAAAGATAAGGACATTTCACTTATTACAGTAGAGGGTAATTCCATGAAGTTTATAAATTTCATAAGTGAACATGTATGCCTGTGGTAGAATGTAAGCATTTTGAGTCAGGAGATGTCTCACTTTTGTGTTTGTGTATACAGATTCAGCACAGTGCCTGGGACATAATAGGTACTTAATAGATGTTTATTGTTTAATTGTTTATGCCCCTTTAGTTCTTAATAATAAGTCTGCTTTAACTTGTGTAAGAAGTGGGTATGCTATTTAGGATGAAATGAGCAGCGTGTGTAGGCAATGGAAATTATTGCAGTCTGTTCTTTTAACAGAGTCATGGACACTGAGAAATCAGGATGCTCAAGGAATTAGTAGCAGCTTTGAATATGAAGGGCACCACCTGAGATCTCTCACTGGCTGGGGAAAATGGAGTTATGACATTCTCAAGGCCTCTTTCATCCTTTGAACAAGACAGATCTTTTAAATATTATTTCATAATTTAAGCCTCTTTTCTAAGATGATTTTTACTATTTCCTTCTTATATATAGATATTATTAAAATCTCTATAAAATATAGATTATATACATATATAATCAATAGAATGTCAAGAGAACAAAAATAGCAAATGCTGTTGAAATGTGACTAATGATGAAAGAAAAATCATATGTAAAAAAGTGTTGGGAAAATGGGAGCAGAGGTTTTTTTGCTTCTGGGAGCCAAGATGGCAGAGTAAAAACTAAGTCACTCTCACACTTTCGTATCAGCCTCTGAAAGCCCAGAAAATATCGCCCCAGGAAAAACCCTGGAACAGCTGAACCAGAAGAAAGATGGGGTGCAGTAGTCCACTAGCCCAGGTAGCTTGAGGGATTAATGGGAAAGGCCCCTGTTGCCCTGGGGGAAGGGGAGCAGTACAGAATAGGAGGCATCCCAGCAATCTAGCTGAAAGCCTCACCTCAGGATACCAGGAGGAGATCCTGAAACCCAGGTGGTGGAGCAGGCAAACACTAATACCTAGACCCCTGAGTGCCTCAGTGAGGGTGGGGGAACCAGTGGAAACCAGCTGAGAAAACCACCAGGTGCTTTGCCATTCTACAGCAGTTTCCCAGTGCCTCAGCAAAAGTCTGTGAAGCACTCCAAGGTGCCCCAGGCAGATAAACAACCTGCAACATCCAGCTGAAAGAAGCTGAAGAAAGTGAAAGGAAAGTAAAAGCAGGCAACTTTCAGGGGCCAGACTCCCCAATCCTACCCCTAGAGTTCCAGTGTTGCTGATTCCAGCCCAACACCAGGTAAACTGCCAGAACACTACAGCTTCTGACTGCCAACATTGGAGGCCCCAGCACACAAAGCCAGTGACCAGGCCCAAGGCTCCCAACACAAGAAGCTTGGGTCAGTGACCTTTGCTCCCCAGCAGGAGAGCTCAACCTCTTTAAAGGCCAGGGAATAAGGAAACACCATGAGCAAAAAGAAAAGTTTCATACCATAGATTCATGTTATGAGAACAGGGAAGATCAAGGCAGAAATTCTAAAGAGGACAACATTGTCAACATACTCACATCTGGAACCTCAAAAAGGAATATGAACTGGTCTGAAGCCCAAAAAGCCTTCTTAGAAGAGCTCAAGAAGGATTTTAAAAGTCAAATGAGAGAGGTAGAAGAATACTTAAAAAATACAGTTGACCAACGGGGAAAAAAGTACACTGAAGAAAACAAGTCCCTAAAAAATACAATTGGCCAAATGGAGAAGGAGCTACAGAATCTAATAGAAGAAAACAATTTGTTAAAAATTAGAATCGGGCAAATAGAAGCTAATGACTCTATGAGACAGCAAGAATCAGTCAAACAGAAACAAAACAATGAAAAATAGATGAAAATGTAAAATAACTCATCAGTAAAACAACTGACCTGGAAAATCGATCCAGGAGAGATAATTTAAAAATTATTGGTCTACCTGAAAATCATGATGAAAAAAAGAGCCTGGACAGTAATTTTCAGGAAATCATAGAGGAAAACTGCCCTGAGGTCCTAGAACCAGAGGGTAAAATAGCCATAGAAAGAATCCAGCAATCACCTCCTGAAAGAGATCCCAAATTGAAAACGCCAAGGAATGTAGTAGCCAAATTCCAAAATTACCAGGTCAAAGAGAAAATGCTGCAAAAAGCCAGAAAGAAACAATTTAAATATCATGGAACCACAGTCAGGATTACACAGGACCTTGTAGCTTCACCATTAGAAGATTGTAGGGAGTGGAACATATGATATTCCATAAGGCAAAGGAGCTTGGATTACAACCAAGGATCAGCTGTCCACTGAAAATGAGCGTGATCTTTGGGGAAGGGGATGGATATTCAATGGAATAGGAGACTCTGAAACCTTCCTGATAAAAAGACCAGAGCTCAACAGAAAATTTGATCTTCAAATACAAGACTCAAGAAAGACATAAAAAGGCAAATGAGACAGAAAGATGCAACATGTTGTTAATAAGGGCAAACTATTTATACCCCTATAAGGGAAGATGACACTTGTAACTCTTGAGAACTGTATTGTTATTGTACCATGTTAAAGGGGCATACATAAAGGGGGTGGATATAAGTTGATTTTGATGTAATGGAAAAAAAAATCAAGTGGTTAAGTGGATCCACGTAAGTGGATTTATCTGGTGATTAATATTGATAAAGTTAACCCTTCTCAGCAATACAAGGATCTAAGATATCTCCAAAGGCCTTATGGTGGAAAATGCTATCTGCAAAGAAGAAAGAACTGTGGAGTTTGAATGTGGATTGAAGCATACTATTTGCTATTTTTTTTCTTCTGTTGAGTTTTGTTTCCTCCTTCTGGTGGTTCCTCTTATTGGTTCTAATTCTTACTTACAACATCACTAATGTGAAAATATGTTTAATAGGAATGTGTGTATAGCCTATATCAGGTTGTGCATCATCTTTGGGAGGGAGGTGGGGAGGGAGGGGGAGAAAAATTTAAAACTCAAAAGCTGATGGAAATGGTTGTTGATAAATCAAAATAAATTAATTTAAAAAAAAAGGAAATGGAAGCAGGTATCCTAAGTATATCTAAGTATAGTAAAATGGAAAGATGTCTTTGGACTTACAGAATTTAGGGTAGCATCCTGGCTCTGTTATTTACTACCCTTACAACTCTTGGCCAGTCACTTAGGCTCTTTGGGTCTCAATTTCCAGCAAAATGAGACAGATTTGCTATATGAGCTTTAGAGCGTCTTCCAGCTCTGATCAAGGTTCCTATGTGCCTGAGTATCACAAAAGAAAAAAAAAAGATACATTTTAAGTTTGTGTCTGTTTCATCACCAGACTTTAGGAAAACATATGTATTCTTGATATGCAAAGGCCTGGGGGAAAATAAATCAATTCAGGTCAGTACATCAATTTGTTTCCATGGATTGTTAAAAATTTCTAGAATAAAGGTAACACAAGATGTAAAAATCTTAATTCTGAACTTGGGCAGTACAGATCACAGATGACCTATGGTATCATAAACTAGTTACAACTCTTTGCAGTGTTTTAACCTTAATAACCATACCACTGACAGCTTGACTAATTGTCAAAATTATTTGGCTAACTTCAACACTCATTAAAATGAATATTAAAGGCTAACAGGATAGACAAAAATAGTTCCTGATCTGATACATCAACTAGAAGAGGGGAGCTTGTGGCCCTTTTGGTCACTAAGTACAGCTCCCTAGCAATCTTATATAAATAATATGCAAACGTTAGCATATGAATTGATAAGTGCTTAGAGGTTTTAACTCTTAGAGTTCTGATTCTTGGGGACTTAATGTAATATGTAAAAGCACACATCAGCACACCAGATTGTATTTCAGATACACAAAACTAATAATGTTGCTTTTATGCTCAAAAAAAGATCCCTAGAATGGAAGAGCTCAGTTGGGAATCACATTTTCTTATATGGCTCAAATTAAGTCGTCCCCATAATTGCAAATGAGATATACCCACATAATCAAAGCACTATATGTGAGGCATTGTGTTATGCAGTGAGGATAAAAAGATGAAGCAGACACTATCGCTTCCCTCAATGAGCTTACAACTTGTTGGAGGCCCTTTCAATTTATAAATCGTTTGAAGGGGGAAAAAAAGGTGGAGATAATAGTTCTTAAATAAAATAGTAAGTTGGGGCTAGGTGGTAAAGTGGATAGAGCACCAACCTTGGAGTCACTAGGACCTAAGTTTAAATATGACCTCAGACACTTAACACTTCTAGCTGTGTGACCCCAGACAAGTCACTTAACCCTGATTGCCTCACCAAAAAATAAAAAAAAATAGTAATAATAACAAAATAAATAAAGTGCCAAGCTCTTTATTGATAAGAACATAAGTTATTAATTTTTGAGGCTTCAGAATTGTTTTTAATTTTTGGCAAATGAAAAGAAATGCTACATTTTTATTAGCTATTATATTGTATATTATTAACCAATTCTCTAGCTATGTATCTGTATTGATTAAAGCAAAATGCATTTTAAAATACACTGAACCCATAATTTCCATTATCCACAAGAGTTTATGACCTTATTAGGGACTCAATTAGATAGGCATTTGATGTTTTAGTACTGAAGAGATCCTTACCTCTGACTTCTTTACCTCAGTGGGCCATAACCCACTGAAATACTTAATTTTGGATACTTGAGGGGATTTTATTACTGCAAGTGATTTAATTGTGTGATTTCAAAATTATCACCTGTTTAAATTTAAGCAATAATATTTTAGGCTCCCAAATACGCCATTCAACTGAATCAACTGATTTCTTCTTTTTGTTTTTGAGGAGAAATAACAATAAAAATAATAACAAAATCTCCTGATTAGATATCACTAATCATTCATTTTCCCAATGCCCTAGTAACAAGTTCCTCCAAAATCCTCGAAATGGAGTTAAAAAAAAGTTTGAGGTAAATGCCTTTCCAATTTTTAGTCTTTAGTTCAAATTGTCTTTTTGCTGTAAAGCTTTTTTCTCATCCTAGAATTTTGCTAACTTTTTCAGAGAATTTCTTTTATTTTGAGTTAGTTGTTTTCAAATTTTTTTCCCTTTTTGTCAGATTATTTGCTTTCTCTTTCTTTTTACTTTTTTTTTGACTTGCGTGATATTAAAGTTCCTTAGTCTTATTTTAGGAACAAACAGTCTTTTTGTCTTGAAGGTGCCAGCAAAATCAGCAAAATAATAAATTAGCACAAAATATCATGCCCCATTGTAGTTGAGGTTGACTTCTAAAATGGAGTCTTACATAATCAAGTTGACAGATAACATGCTAACTCTTTATTGCTCATTCCAAATTTGAAAGAACCAGAGAAGTAAATGTAGGACAGTAAAAAAGAGAATTGAGTTAGCTCAATAAATAAATTTCATGTTAAGTACAGAGGCAGAGCATGTGCAGAAATAAATACAGAAACTTCAGTAGTAAAGATATAAGATTATATAGTTCTAACTTGTCTGTGAGAGGAATGAATCCTGAAACTTGCATTTTTTTTTCCTTCATCAATAAAGCTCTATTTTTTAAAGGTAAGATTTGGGCTAGAAGAGAAACTTCACTTTTCATCCTACATTGAGGACTAATTTTCCTGTTTTCATGCTATATCAGTATCAATAAATAAAGCTCCTATATATAGGATGAAGAACGCAACAGAATGGCTTAATCTTGATAAAGAGAAGGCCCAAGTCTCTCTCTGACCTAGGGTTACAATATTCTCTTTCATTTCTGTCTCTTTAGTGCCAACATGAACCCTGTCAAAATAAATTAAGAGGTTTTCTTTAAACAAATCACCAAAGGTCATCTCATCAAAGCTCTTTTGTGTTTCCCTCAATACCTTGTTCTGAATTACTGTCAGTTCTGTATATGTAGCTAGAAAACCCCTCCCTACCTTTGGTCATGAGTGTTAATCTTTTGCTCAAAAGCTGCCAATGGTTTTCTCTTGCCTAAGAAGTAAAACCCTACCTCCTTAATGTGTCATTCAAGGACTTACATGTTCTGGCCCAAGTTATCTATCAAAGTTTATGTCTCGTTACTCCCCTGCATAGGACTTATACTTAGATGTGTGTTTGTGACTAAAATGACATGCATGCTCTCTCCTTGGCTGCAGATCCCGACTTACAGAAGCTCCCTCTCATCCTGGGTGTCATTTGTCCCTAGTATCCCTTAAATCCTCCATTTAAGGGCCATCCAGTTTACTAGGAGCCTTTCTCTTAATCTCTTATTATTGCACAGAATACCAGGTGAAAACATGGATGAGACATCCTACGGAAACAGTATGTTCTGCATCCTATGTTCTCACTAAATCACTTTCACTTTGTTTTCCAAGGATACATCTTTCTGATAATATATTTTATACTCTTTTTCTTGGGTGTTTTATTTTTTAGTGTTCTTGTGCAGTTCTTATTAGTAATTTGTAGTCTACACCATATAACCTCAAATCCCATGTTTCAGGTAAAAAGGGCTACTGGTCTTTGCCCGACACCTTTTAATCTCTATGTTCACAAATTTGGGCATTTTATTACTTCTACCTAGATTAGTCTTCCCTCAAAATCTGCCTGTAGATATCCTACCATCTCTTAAGTCTCATCTGAAGTCCAGTCATCTCTTTGAATCCTTTCCCAATAACCTTTTTCACTTTCTTCTCTTAATTATTTTTTCTTATAATTGGAATACAGAATATCTCTCTTACTTATTCTCGAAGTAAATAATGTCTTACCCTTTTCAAATAGGGGCTTCCAAATAGTGTAAAGTTCTTAATGAGAATAATTAGATCTTCTAAGTCTTGTTTATCCCTCAGAGTACCTTGCAGAGGTCTAGCAACATAAGAGATACTTAATAGATCTTGGCTGATTGGTTGATTGGTTGTCCTCAAATTAGGGGAAAGTGGTGCCCTGAACATATAACTTGTCCTCTTGAGAATCTGTCAGGACTAGAAATTTGATGTTAAATATTAGTTAATAAATTTTATTCCTGACACATTATGTTTTCATTAGTTATCTAGATACAATATAATATTTGACTAACCATTTTAATTTTGATGTACCAAGGAGAATATATTCCTTTTTCCTAGCAGTATTTAAGGTAAAGGATAACACTGCTTTGAGGATTTTGTTTTGCTTTTGTTTATTTGTACAGAAACTGAGCATATACAATGGAGTAAAAAGATGACATTTTATATGAGTTCATCTAATTTAACCCATCCTTCCTCTTCAAAAAAAAAATTTTCTTGAAAAAGCAATGTAAGTGAACAAATAAAACATAGAAAATAGGTTTAAAATTTTTTTGCAAAATAAAAATGAGTCCTTTGATATGCCTTCCTGGGCCCCATTCTTCTGTGTGTTATATGAGAAAAGGATAATTGAAATCACAGCTGGTAGAGGCTAATTAATTCATTTGGGATTTTGATACATGAGGTGTGTTGAGGAATAGAATTATAGCAGGATATATCTTTCAAATAACAATGTGTGTGGCATTATTAGAAAACATTTTTATTGGATTTATCATAAGCAAAGAGATAGAGTAAGAGAGAAACATAAGCAGGTATTGATAATGATATAACAATTTTCACTCTCTTTGGGAAAGTGAAGAAGTTAGAGATATACTTCAGCATAAAGAAGGTGATTTCCCAGAACCAAGTCTGGAAAATCCCTAAAGCATTTGATGATATACCAATGAAGATTAGTATCAGAATTAGTACCCATAATTCACTGCCATAGAATGATTGAATTAATCATACTACCATGTTGTGGCACAAAGAATTTCCAGCCATATTAAGACTTGTAAATAAAAATAAAAGATGAATATTAGGATCTAATATTCCAAGAAATAATGTGGATTTGCTTTCTCTGTTATTCAGTAGTGAAAAGAGTTGGAGTTAGGAGAGTGACTACATAATTTGTCTCTAAAACTTAGTATATCTTATACTGGATGTCACTTATCTGAGTTTCAATTTTACTGTGAAATGGTGATAACAATAATTTTTTTCTGCAGAACTCTGAAGAGGAAAAACTTTGTAAATAAATATAAAGTTAAACTTACTAGGCCTGTTTTCAAATACTGAATAGGTAATCTAAAAAGGGTGATAGGTATAGTGTTTATTAAAAAGTTAAAACATCATTTTGGAGAGTTCATGGACTATCTGTAGTTGCATAGTCCATGCTTACCTTTGGCAGGTATTCACATATAATATACATATATGCATCCATGTATGTAAACTGTATGTCTAATGTGTACATATATATATATAGTTTATATATGTGTGAATATATGTGTGTATAGATAGATAGATATAGTTTTTTTGTACATATTAAGTACAGCAATTATTTCCTTGAAGAATGTATTCTAATATGTAAGTATAATGTATTTCACTGGATACAGATATTACATTTTGAATACCAAGGACTAAATTAGTATTTATGGACTTTCCTGAAGTTGTGAAATCCATAAAAGATCTGAGTTAAAATCCTGACTCTTCCATTTACCTCCCTTATGATCTTCAACAATTAAAGTACTTATTCTGGGTCTCCCCCTTTTTTTTTTTCCCTACTACACCATGGTGCACCACAATTCTTTTACTTATTTTCAAATGGCCTAAGATACAATCCTCCAACCAACATATTCTCTGAATATGTTTGTTTCTATTCTTCCTAAAACATGGTACCTAGGAACAAAATTGAAGACTAAGAGAAGATTGTAACAAGACTAAATACTCCTTTGTTCTGGAAACTATGCTTCACTTAATTAGTCATAAGCTTACATGAGTTTTTTTGGACAACACATAATACTGTTGATTCATACTGAATTTTAGTACACTTTTGCATAACTCTTTCGTAACCATGCCTTTTCAGTTCTGCAAATAAATAGTTTTTACGCCTCTTTTGCATTTGGGTTTAACCTATTTTTAAGTTGCTATTTTCTTCAGTATTTTTTTGGGTCTCCGTTAGCAAGCCGTTGACTTGTTTTTCATGATTTTCTTGCATCACTCTCATTTCTCTTCCCAATTTTTCCTCTGCTTCTCTTATTTGCTTCTCAAAATCCTTTTTGAGTACTTCTGTGTCTTGGGACCAATTCATATTTTCCTTGGAGGCTTTGGATGTGGGAGCTTTAACTTTGTTGTCTTCTTCTGGTTGTATGTTTTGATCTTCTTTGTCACTAAAAACAGATTCTATGGTCTGACTGTTTTTGCGAGGTTTGCTCATGATCCCAGCCAACTACTTGAGTTATAAACTCTTCTTTAAGGTAGGAGTCTGCTTCCAGTGTGGAGAATGTATTGTCCCAAGCTTCAGGGGTTTTGTGCAGATATTTTCAGAAATACTTCCAGGGACCTGTAAATTTTCAGTTCTTCCAAGATGCATGACAAGGGGTGAGGTGTTTACTCCTTTCCTGGCCTGTGTTCTGGTCTAAGAGTGACCACAAGCACTCTTTTGTGCCTTGGAACTCTGAGGAGGATTTTCTCTCTACTGCCACCACAAGCTCCACCACGCCAGCACTCCTCCTCACCTCAGGACTGCTACCCAGAACTGTGACCCAGATCCAAGTGGGGGCAAAGCAAGAGAATCCTGTACCCGCGCAATCCCCCTCTGATCAGCCACGTTATTCCCCCTTAGTCTGCGGGCCAGAAGCTCTGGAAGCAGCCATAGCCCCTGGGCCACACGTGGAAACTGGGGCTGGGACAGAGCTTCTCTCTCATTGAGGTCACAGACTTTTCCTACTGACCTTCTAAGTTGTCTTTGGTGTTTCTGGGTTGAGAAGTCTGGCAACCGCCACAGCTGTCTGTGATTCAGCCCTCTAAGGCCTGCTCCAGGATCGCTGAGGCCTGTTTTGCCTGTGCACCCATATTGTACTGCGTTCCTCTCCCTGCTTGGCACAATATACCTTTCAGATCAGCCATCCAAGTTGTCTTGGGCTGGAAATTTGTTTCACTCTGTGTTTTTGTGGGTTGTGGTACTCTAGAATTTGTTTAGAGTCATTTTTTTACTGATATTTGGAGGGATTTTGGGGAGAGCTCAAACAAGTCGCCACTTTTACTCCACCATCTTGGCTCAGCCCCCAATTAAATAGTTTTTGAACTTGAATGCATAGTTTTGTACTTATTGCTATTGAATATATATTACTAGGATTAGCCTTTAATTCTACTCTAGATTACTTTTTAAATCCTGAATTGACTGTCATTCAGTGTGTTAGGTATTCCTCCTAGTGGATTAACTTGAAATCTGGTAAATATAATATCTATGCTGTCTTCCAAATTATTAACAAAACTGAATGGAATAGTATCATAAAGAGATCCCTAGGGCACTGTAGTTAAGATGACTCTTCCAAGTTGGAATTGATTTATTAATGAGTCCTATTTGAATCAGATTATTCAGCTATATGTAAATTCAACAGAGTGCAGTAGCAAATAAACTATGCTTCTCCATCTTCATCACAAATATAATTTGAGAAACTTTGTCAGATTCAGTGGTGAGATTCAGGTAAACTTTGTACACTTTGAGATACCAGTTTACTAAACTTTCAAAAAAAAGGAAAATGAGATTAGTCTGTCATGTATTACCTGTTGTTGATCAAAAGCATGCTCTCTCTTATTGAATACAGTTTAATTAGTGAATATTCAGTAAGAGATAATTTCTGTAAGCTAGTTTCTTTAACTGATCACAAAATAACCTTTGAATCTCTAAAATTTTGTACAGAATTGAAGTCAGATTGCAAGAGTTAAAAAAAACATTCAACATGCAAAAATACTTAATGCCTTCTTTATTTGATTCATTAATGACTCCTATCTCATCTTAACCATTTTTTAAAATCCTCATAGCTATTTAGTTGGCAATCCCATTGAGTCCATCTCCATAGTATCTCTAATATCTTTCTGTCTTCATTCTTTGCTTTCATTGTAAGCAAGTGAAAGTGAAAGAAGTTGAAAGAGAGGCATGGTTGAAGAAATAGGGGTAGAACTCACCATGATTCTTTGATCCTGTGGGTGATAAGGTTATACAATAGGAAGATATGATCAATGGTACCAAAAGAATTCAGGGAGATCTGTTAGAATGAAGATTGGATTATTGGCACTTGATGATTAGGAAATTAAAGGTAACCTTGGGACAGAAGTTTCAGGCAAATGTAGCTATAGTTTTTTTTTTAAATGTGTTATAACTTTCTGCTCATTTCTTAAAATAAGTAACTCATAAAACAAAATGATATTCTATGTTGTCTGTTGTCACTATTGTGAACTTTTGTAAAGTGTTGCTTGTGTCCCAGTCAGTTAAACCATCTAAGGAGGGAGTTAAATTTTTGTAGCTTTGTGTTTGACAAATCTATAAATCTACAATTAACATTTTAAAAACTAAATGTTTTTTTAAAATTCTGCTTTAATGAAATGTTTCAGTCATTTGCATGTAAAAAGTAATGAATCATACAAACAATAATTATGTGATAGAAAAGTATAGTGATGTAATGATATATCAGAATTTCAGGGAAGCAGATTGTGGCATCCTCTGGAGAAAACTCATATTCCTACATATATATCTATATCTATATCTATATATCTATATCTATATCTGTATATCTATATATCTATATATATATATATATATGTGTGTGTGTGTGTGTGTGTATGTATGTATACAGAAAATTGAAAAAGGAAGGATTATTGAACCAAATTTTACTAAAAAACAAATCCAACCAATACACACACTGGGTAAACATAAAAGAAGATATATTTAAAATTAGAGAAATAAATTGAAAATTAAAAAAAAATCACAGAAATGATCAGTAAGCCTAAAAAGCTGGTTCATTGACAAGATTATTACAAGCGATAAACCTTCTAACTAATCTGATGAAAGAAGATAATAAAGGAAATCAATAAAACAGCAAAAGAGCAAAGAAAAATCACAGAAAAACCAGAAAAGTAAAAAAGAATAATCAAAACAGTATTAT